GCAACCCTGTTTGTTTCCTGCAATTAAGAATTCCTCATATCAGTGAGATCATATGATACATGTCTTTCTCTGTTTGACTTATTTCACTCAACATAATACTCTCCAGTTCCAGCCCTGATGATCATTTTGTGATAAATATCCATTCATTATGTTTTACACCCAAAACTAATATATTGTTATATGTCAATTACATGTCAATTTAGAAAAAACAGTCATTTCCTTCAAAAAATAGAACAAGCAGAAAATGGATTCTCTAACGGACTTCAGAATTGCGTGATTTGTCAGAGGTGATGATTTCCCCATAGCCACTCTATTGGGTTATCATCCTGGAGGATAAGCTACAGGATGCTTGGCAATATGGACAATGGGACTGACCCATTTTGGCAAAAAAACATTTTGTGTATTCCTGTATCTGCCAAAAATTGAAATCTGTATTCCCTATTCTTCATCTTTCCTTGCATTGTTCTTCTCACATCAGAAATGCCATTTTCCATTCTCTTCATTTACAAAAATCCCATTCATTCTTTTGGGGCCAATTTAGTACCTACTCCCTCCATGGAAGTAAAACATTAAAGTCTCAACATCTTACCCATATTTCTTTGGTAGCAAACAATTTAAATATAATGTCCAGGATACATGCTGTTCGAAGTGAAACAGCAACATCACCATAAAATCTTGCCTGTTTACAAAAGCCGAATGAACTAACTTGGGTGTTATTGACAGAAATTATTATATCATTAAAGCTAATGACATGGAAAATGGACAAGGTACTAAAATAACTCAATATGCTGTATACTTATTACTAAGAAGGAAAATCCTCCTGTATGGAAAACAATTAATAAAAATTTATAGATGAAATATCAAGTATCAGAAATATGGTCTTAAAACATTCATTTTTCAGTTTTTCTGATTATTGCTACCACTTGCTTTAGGCAGAAATAATAGCTATTGCATTACTGCTGGTTCAAAAATTAGGAATATATTTCCATTGAAATTGTTCACTGTTCTGTTTAAATATAAATTGTTTAGGCCAACAGGACGAGTATTTGCAAATATGTACTAGAAATAAGAACTATGCTATGTCATCAAGTCTTATTATAAACATATTAAGGCTTAAAAAAGTTACATTCTATAGCCATCATTTAAACTGTAATTTACCATTCACATGGATATAATTTTATTGAGATTATATGGAAGCAAACTTACTTTATTACAGATGATTTTACATCTTTTTAAGATTCACTTTATGTCTTTGAATGACTTTCCTAAGGATTTCCTCTTAAATGAAGTAAGATTAATAAAGACTGAAAGTCTACACTTTGTTGGGAGCAGACTGAGACTTCTGAAACTTTCATCTTCCAAAATATAAGATTAATAAAATTATTTTTCAGAGTAAGATAGCCCTCTCATGAAAGATTTGAATACAGTTTAGAAAATCACCTAAATTCACCAGGTTAAATTCAACACAAAGTCAGATATAGTCTATTTATGGATGAAATATCTCAAACTACTTTTCATGGTGGAATGAAAGGCACTTTTCAGAAGTATATTAAGGTTAGTGCATGTAATGATGTCATAATATTTCATGTAAGAGTTGTATCTTTCTACTCTGTGAGAAGTCAAGTAAGTTTTTATAAAAAAAAGCTCCTCCCCAGATTTGCAAAAATGAATACAAATTAGTTTTTGCAGTATTTCAGTATGTATATTTTGTAATCAGACTCAATTACATTAAATATTCTGTTGCAGTAAATTCCCATACTGCCTGCCAACATTTTTAAAAGCTTCTTTTCCTTCAGGAGAGGGCTTCAGAGGGGAAAATATGCTGAGGTTGAGTTGTGACCAAGACAAGGAGAGAAGGGACATTTCTGCTTGTGGGCATAGGAAGCAAAATTTAAAATAAACCGAGTTCCTTTATAACTCAGCTGTTGCTTGCAAAATTACCTGCATAATGCTCACATTCACTGAGGGAGATTGCTGTCATCACAGACTGTTAGACCATATATATCCAGGTCCTGATATAAACATCACCGCCAAAATCACATATATGCTGTAGGCATGACAAATGGCTCCTCCCACCTTACCTCTTATACTGTGTGTGTGTGTGTTTCTCTTGTTCCACAACAAAAGCATGATTCAGAAAGTATGGGCAATTTGCGGTAGGATGAAAAGACTGCATACCTGTCTATAATGGCGCACATGTCGATGCTGACATTCGCAAAACTCCCTGGCCTCCTCTGTGCCACTTCATATAAATTTACCAGTTGGTCATCCACTTGAATGAGCTGCATGCATCCTTGGAATGAAGGCTGAAGGACAGAGTGACTGGAGTTATTCATCTGGTTCAGAAAACCTGTGAGAGAGAAGAAGTGGGAAAGTTACATTCTATGTACAGCATGCTTCACTAAAATTCCTCCAGGTGTCTTCCCTGACTACAGCCATCCTGTCTCATTGATCCTTGTTGATGTAGTGTTCAATGTAGAAGAATGGAATCTTTTGAGAAAGCAGTATTATTTCTGGAGAAGAAGGAAGGGTTGAACCTAAGTAAATGTTTGTTTCTGGGGTCTACATTCCTCATATTTTCTCTGTGACATTTTCTTTCTCAGTCTGTCACATTGCTCTGTCCCTCTGCTCTTGAAGGCTCACTCCTACACTTCCTCACCCGACTCTCTCTTCAGAGATTAAAACATAAAACTTTAGACCTTTCCCAACTATCCCACCACCTTCCTTTTATGCCTTCAATATTTACTTCTATTTTCTTAATTCCCTAGAGCCCTGTTACTCAGATGTCAAGAAGCTAAACTATTATCGATTATGGTGGATTTCTTTTATGGATTAATGTCTAACTCAATCCAAAGAGATACTTGCATTACAAATGATTTCTCAATTTATAAAATCCAAAGAAACATTATAAAGAAATAAATTTAGGCAGAAGGCTCAGCTACCCGCCTCTGAATATCCATCTTATATACCTACTATGGTATAGGGAGCACAAATGATAAGAAATGAAACTAAAAAGAGAATGAATAGCAAGACAAGAAAAAAAAGAGCAAATACTAGAGGTTCTATTAGGGAACAGAAGATACATATACTAAGTTTAAAATCAGATATTAAAAATTTTATTGAAAAATAACTTTAAAATAGCAACACCAGTTACTTAAATTATGCCTTTTTAGTAGAAAAAAATGCATAATTCTTAGTATGTGTATTAAATCTGTAAGCCACAGGAAAAAAATATTTCTCTAACTCATTAAGTATCTCCAGAAAGTCTCAAAAAGCATCTACTTTTCATATTGTTCCTCACACCAAATTTATCTACCAGAGCAGATTTAAACTGTACTAGTTTGTCTGCTTAAAATTCTGAAGTTATTAAACATATTCATTTCAGTCTAATACTAATAGCTACAGAAAAAAAATTATACAGAATGGGGTGCAATCAAGATGTGTCATTAAGTTGATAAAAGTGAATTTCCAATAGAAAACTTCTCCAAAAAATTGACCATTAAGTGATTTTTTAAAAAACGTCCTATTTGACTAGTAATAGCAGTTTAGGACAATAGAAACCATTCTTCTATTATTAATGGGTTATGATAATTAAAGTCTAGTAATAATCATTGGAATTCCCTTTGAGAGTTAATCACAGAGCTGTATATCATTTTCCATCAACACAGTACTTTGTAAAAACAGGATTCTACTTAAATTACTATCTTGACTTAAAAAACTATATATAAGGCTCTACTTCCAATGTCAAACATATGGCATGTGTATATTTTTCCCTAAGTCACATTTTTTTTCATTTGCATTAAGTTAGTCTCCTCAGAAAACTGCTGATCTTAGATAAGTCGCCCATTTAGACTAGTTGTATGCATACATATGATTTTCAATCTGTTTAATCAAGATAAAATTGAATGGAGTATAATGTCTAAACTTAGCAGAGAGAAAACATCCAGCTGTAACTTTATTGACTACTCTTAACAAGACGATCATTTGGTTCTGTTTTTTGAGTACTTGGGAGTCTCTAAATATCCACAGTAGCTTTGAAATATTTCAAAATGAGTCGATCTATTTGTGAGAACAAGACCTTCTCTGAAGCAAAGCAGCTGCATAACACACAGATCACTATGAATTGGACATAATTAAGTTCATAAAACAAGACTTCATCAGTCACTCATAACAATGTTCCTGATAAATTCTGGAGTTTGAAACTGTCAAGTCCTTTCACTTTTCTACATGGGATACATTCTAGGCAAAGATAATTATAGGACAAACTACTATATATCGATTAAAAACTTAGGTTTTTTTTTTTTTTTTTTTCCTTTCCTTGCATTATCTTTAACATTTCCAAGAGGAAGCCCATTAATCCTTGCCTCTGGTACACCCTTTCCTACTCTCCTTCTACCCTGAATTAGCGCTGATTCTGGTCAGTGGATAACTATGAAGTGGTGGCTGTGTGTGACTTCTGATGCTAGTATCTGGCTTGGTCTCTGAGACTGCTAACTGATCATTCCATGAGCAGTCTTCTGGAAAAGCCCATAAGAGATAATAAATCATGGTTTCCAGCTATTAAATTTTGGGGTGATTTGTTTATGCAATAATGAATACTTAGTAATAAATTTGGGAGGGAATTGTAACAGAAACCTACAGATGTGACAGTAACCTAGGGATTGAGATGTACAAGTAAGTTGGACAGGCCTCACAAGGGCTGTGAGCAGAAGCCTGATGGCTCTTGAGGAGGTTGCCAGTAATGGCTTAAAGGAAAGTGAGGAATAAATGTGATTGGAAATGAGAGAAAACTGGATCCTGGCTATGCTGCAGTAGAAAGTTTAATAACATCATGATAATATGGGAAGGAAACATTATACTTAATGAATTGGGTAACCTAGCTAAGGACATTTCAGGCAGAGAATTCTGAACATCTTCTACTTATAGTAAAAGGGGAAAAAGAAGAGAGTAAAACTAAAGAAAAACCATTACATATGAAGAAAGCAGGACTTTATGGATTTGAAAATAAAGTATTTTATCAATTCTAGTCTCTCCAGATGGCCAACAATGCAAAAATTAAAGTCACCTGTGGGCAAAAATCAACTACCAATAAGACATAATGTAAAGATGGCAAAGAAGTGTGACTATGATATCCACCTTAAGACCTCCAAAATGTATTAAGTGGTGCCTCAAAGACCCATTCATTCAGACTAAAGAACTGCTAGACAGCTTATTGGTATGTCTTACAGATCCTCTGAGTTAACAACGTTAAGCGCATTTTTCCCTTAGCATGTCAGCAGAAGTCCAATATAAAAAAATAAAATAAAATAAAATAGCTTATCTTCATCAGATTCTGGATGTGGCTTTTGCTTAAAACAGAATAATATTCATAGGAAACCCACAGATTTATAAGACAGCCGTACTTGTGGTAACACCATCAGCTTGGCCTGAAAGAGACAGAGATGGTACAGAAGGAAATTATGTCTTTAGACCCTAAACTACAGGCAGGAAATGATGCAGCTATAAACACAGGCTACTTTTTATATTAAAAGGAAGCATGGATCAGAGAGGTAGAACTGTGAACCAGAGGGCAGAGCCAAGACCCATGAAGAAGCACTTCCAGGAAATATTAGGAGTGAGCCCTAATCCAGGAATTACCAACATGCACCTGACTGGAATTTAGAACCACTGTGGACAAGTTTCCTTCTGTGTACCTCTTATTTCCCCCTTTTGAACCAGAAAGTCTAAAGTGGTTACTCTATGCCTATCTGACCATGATATGTTGAGTGTGTGGGTGGCACAAAACTTGTTCACAGGTCTTCAGATGAGAAGCTGTATTTAAATACCTTTCTTTGTTTTTAGAATTCCCTAGGAGCTTAATGTTGGTATGAACTTGACTCAGATGATGAGTTGCTGGATTCTGAGCAGACCCTCTAATGGAAGGAAGCTTTAAAGGGCCTTTGGAGGAAGTAAGTATACTTTTTCATGTGGAAGAGACATGAATCTTTGTGTTCCAGAGGGCAAACTATGGTAACCGACCTCCAAGATAGCCACACATCACTTCCTGCTATTCATACCCTGTGGGGTTCCCTCCCACACTGAATCAGTGCTGACTTGTGTGACAAACAGAACACTGCAGAAGTGACAGTGTGTCTGTGACTTTCAAGGCCTAGTAATAAAAGGCATTAGAGGCCTTTACATTGGTCTCTTGGATCACTGGCTCTGAGGCAGCCAGCCCCTAGGCCATGAGGAACCTCAAGCAGTCTACTGGAGAGGCGCCCATATGGAGAGGAAATGGGACCTCACTGCCAGCAGCAGCTTGCTAGCCATGTGAGTAAGCCATCTCAGACTAGTGCTTCCAATCCTAGTCAAGCCTTCAGATGACTGAGGCTGCAGGAAACATAAAGCTGCAACCTCATAAGAACTCCAAGAACTTCCCAGCCAAGCTGTTCCTGAATTACTGGCCCACAAAAAAGGAAGAGAGAATAAGCTCTTCCTGTGTTGAGCCACTAAATTTTGAGGTAGTTTTTATGCAGTAGTCGAGAACATACTGTTTTCTGCATTTGTTCCTCTACTGTACAAATATAATTTCAGTAAAAATACTAGTGTATCAGTCCCTGTGATACTTGCAGTGACCACTCTAAAGCTCAAGAATTAACCTACTTAGTAGATCAATAGCGGGAGTGTTTGGAGATAAAAATCTGCCGCTGGGATTCTCAGGGTCAGAAATGAATGGATAGAGAGTTAAACTTAATTGAAATTTGCCAAGTTAATAGAAAGATTATATAGAATGAGAAGATTAATTTTTGTTTGTTTTGGCTTAAAACTTTAAATATCTATGAATTTGGAATAAAAAATGCATTGTGTACACATGGGTTGTTACTGGGCTCCACGATCTGGCAGGGTGACACCCACACTAATTGTCACCTTGCAGACTCAACACCTCTCACTCCCAGTGAAATGGGAAACCTTTCCTCTTTGCAGGGTCGTTATAATTATGTAACCTAACTGGCACGTTGGAGATTTCTGTTTCAAGACTTCGCACATAAAAATGTCATACCTGATTTGAAGTCCACTCAGTATTTTATTATTCTTGCTGACAGAAGGTTTTAAAATTTTAATTCAGAAATACATCGTGAAAAACATGCTGATATTTGTTTTGACATTAAAACACCAATCGAAACTGTTGTAAGTTATCATGTGAACCTGATGGGACAGAAAAAGCAAACAATAGGCAACAGGGTAGAAATCGTACATGTCGAAAGCCACACCTGTATGAGGTTTCTCTATTGATACTTATTTTAAAGTTGGGAAGTTTGGGAAGTCAGAGAGAGGCTGGTGGGATGCGGTAAGGATGCTCAAAACACATTT